GTTAGGTTGAGTTGATTTTGTTCGGACGCGTTGATTCAAACTAAGACTGACCCTTTGGAAAATCAACTCGCTGAAGCCATAGCTTGAGGGGGCTAATAGGAAACAGCTGAGGCACAGTGACATCACCGAGGGCTCTGAGAGGGGACAGGCCCCTTCGAAGGCCACAGCCCGCGGAGCCGAAGCTTACCTGGGGGAGAGTTAGGGGCCGGCACTGTGGCACAGCAGGCAAAGCTGTGCCGCCTGCAATACCCACATCCCATACGGGTGCCAGTTCAAGTCCCAGCTGCTCCTCTTCTGATCCAGCTCTCTGCTATAGCCTGGGAAAGCGGTGGAAGATGGCCCAAGTGCTTGGGCCCCCGCACCTGTGTGGGAGACCCCGAGGAAGCTCCTGGCTCCTGCCTGGCTGTTGTGGCCATCTGGGGAGTGAACCAGTGGGTGGAAGGTCTCTTGAGTGGGCCCTCTCTGTAACTCTCTCAAATCATATATAAGCCTTAAAAAAAAAAATAGTTCCTTTAGTATGCTTTCAAAAAAAAAAAAAAAATACACGTGGAAGGAGCCAGCCAGGCAGGAGCAGGGAAGAGACAGAACTCGCTGGAGCTGAGGCGGCAGCCGGGCTGCACGTGGGGCAGGGGAGGAGGCAGGTGCAGGGAGGAGGCCGGCAGGCAGGCCGCTGGCGGGTCCCGCTGGCCGCCATGTTCTCCACTTGGGGTGGGCCTTGTCCTGCCTTCACACTCCCTGACTCCCGTGCTGGGTGATCAGCGAGCAGCGCTTGGTGTGGCTGTCTTTCCACGCCGCAGGCTGTGGCCTCTCCAGAGCTCCGACTGCGAGGGTTTGTGCACAGCTGGGGTCCAGGACCTGGCGTGCGTCCCTGGGGCGGCTGGCACTGAAGGACTGGAGTTCATTTCCATGCAATGTGCACGCACTTCCTCTTCTAATTTTGCAAGGGATTGAAAACGAGGGGCTGGGGCGGGGGGCAGGGGTCCTCTCTATTTGGCCAGCTCACTTCTGGGGCTGAATCTCCCCTGGGGAGGGCTGGCACTGGCAGGCGGCTGCCTGGTCGGGGGAGGGGGAAGCTTGGTCAGCGAGGAGGAGACGGGGCAGGGAGGCGGGCTGTGCGCTCACCTAGCCTGAGCCCGGGTGTGTGTGTGTGTGTGTGTGGGACGAGTGATGGGCATTTTGTCCACAGTCAGGTGTCCTGGCAAAGCTCAGCAGGAGCCCAAGCAGCAGGCCCGACCTGAGGCGGGCCACCTCCTCCCTGCGCCAGCTCCTCCTCCACCTCCACGGGTGGCCCTACCCCCCCCCCCCCCGCCATGGCTTCCCTTCCCGAGCTGTCGGGATGCCTCCTTCAAGCTGTCGGGATGCCTCCTTCACCCTTGGACCTCCTCCATTCTCTGACTTGCCCTAACCCTCAGGCAGCAGCAGGAACGTCATGGCCTGTGGTCAAGTTCTGTTGATGTCCCTGCCCCTCCTCATCCCCCCCCACCAGTGTCTGTAGCAGGGGAGGGGTCCTTGGTGGTGTCGGGCAAGTTGAGGTCTTGGTTGGGGCTGAATGGGACAGGTGGGACATATGGGTGATCTCTCAGAGGGGCAGGACCCTCCACCCAAAGGCCTTCCAGGCTTGCCCTGCAGAGCCAGGGTGGGACCTGGGGGCCCCAGAAATTAAGATTAGCCTCTGGGAGTGGTAGGGGCTGGTGAAGACCCCCAAGCTTAGCGGGAGGCTGGCACCTCTCCTTCCTGCTATGTGGGAGGAACTAACGGCAGTCCCAGGAACCCCACCCTCCACAGTGTTCAGCTCAAGGCAGCAGCTGGGTGCAGCTGGCAGCCGTGTCCCTGGGCAACTCCCTTAGAGGCCTCTGGCTGCAGGGGCGACGGGGGAGGGACGTGCACAGAACAGCGCCACACGCACCTGTCAGCCACGGCTGCTGTTCCCACCTCCCTGCCTTGCTGGGCCCGTTTTGGGAGGAGAACACACCTGTCTGTCCGTGGCAGGTGCAGGCTGGGTTCGCATTGACCGGGAGCACGGGAGGGTGTATGTGGATGTGGGGGGAGGGGCATCAGGAACTGGAGATGGTGTCCCGCTTGTTCGGCACTGAAGTGGAACACCAGCAATCTGGGAACTCCCCTGGTTGAAGGCCCCACTTGTCTCCTGGAGCCATCGGCTCCCCACTCCTCCCCACCCAGGCTGCAATGCCCCTCCTCTCCTTGGCACGGTGCTGGGAGTCCACCAGCTGAGCGCTCTGACACGGGGTCAGGCCGACAGACGGGGCTGGCATCCCAGGCGTGGCGGCCGGCCTCTTGGAGCCGGCTCCCTCCAGGAGCTGGGAACACCTCCACAGCAGCTTTGTCGAGCAGATGACATTAAACAGATCGCATATGTAAGCACACCTGGCACACAGCAGGTGCCTGGCACGTGCTCGCTCCCCGCCCTTCAAGAGCACGGCCGTCCTGAAAGAACCCACCTGGCCCCGGGCAGCCAGTGGCTCCTGCCGGTGCCTCCCGGACCGGCTGTGTGCGCGCGCGTGTGTGTGTGTGTGCACGCGTGTGTGCGCGCGTGTGTGATGGTCTTGCTGGCCCACACCCTACCCGCGTTCCCTCCCTCCTGCCTGTCTTCCAGTAGCTCTGTTCTCCAGCTTCCTAGTCGCCTGGACAACGCTCCCCAGGCTGGCTGTGCTCTCTGAGCGCCTAAGCTCCCCCCAGGTCCCTGCCCAGGGGGAGTTCCCGTCTTGGGTGTGCAAGGTTGAAAGGCTTTTTAAGGGGGGCTGTGTGTGCACAATGCAGCCGAGGGGGGACCTGGTGCAGGGAGCCCTCTCCCCTGAACAGGGGGACAAAGACCCAACCTGCACCATAAAACAGGGCAGGGCCAGAGCAGCAGGGGTGTGTGAGGGGGGCCGCGGGCAGGCTGGGCAGGGGCCTCAGCAAACAGCAGTGTTCAACAAGGGCCCCTCCCAGCTCCGCCCGGCTTTAAACCCCGCAGTGCGCAGCTTGGCTCCAGGGGCCTCGCGCTGACCCCAATCCAGTTCTTCTTGACGCCCCAGCCCAGCGATGCAGAAGGCAGGAAGATAAGCGGGCTCCTTGAACCACACACACCGGGGGGAATTCCGTGGCCCCTCAGAGGTCAGGCTGGGCACTATAAACCAGGCTGGAGTGAGGGTGGGCTGCGAGATAAGATCCCTGGGGGGTGTGCAGGGCGTGCTGAGGCCTGCGCCTGGGGCAGGGGCCATGACCCCAGAGGAGCGCGCCTTGCGGCCACCCCCCAGCCCTGGCTTGGTGGAGACCAAGGCGGGGATGCGGCCAGGGTGAAATCTGGAGCTGACTGCTGGGCCGGCACTGCCGGGTGCCCCGGCTCTGCCTCTCTCCCCTGCCCCCCACTTCCCGCCCGCGCTCCGGCTGCTTTTCTCCAGCCCTGAGACCCTCACTCCCCCGTCCTGTTCTCTGTGTCCCTCCTTCCTCTGCTCCCAGGGTGGGCTGGGTAGCAAAGGGTGAACCCAGCGCGGTTGCCGAGGTAGTAAGAGAACAGAGGAATTGCGACCAGCGGTCGGGAGCAGAACAGGGACCCGCGGGGTGGGCGCGGCGCCCACCAGGCCTGGGGGCCCCTATGTCCAGGCCGTGTCAGAGCTGCACCAGGCTCCCGGCCGGCCAGCTCCTCTGCCATGCCTCCTCCTCCCAGCAGGCTTCCTGCTCTGCAGAGGAGGTGATGGAGCCAGGGCCTGGGGCCCTGCAGAGCTGTGGGGAGGGCTTGTGGAGACTTCAGACCGGGAACCCAGCCCAGGCTCCACAGCGGGGCAGCGGTGGGCAAGGTCTGGGGTCCAGGAGCGTCTCCTGGGGCAGCGGAGAAGAGGCTGGGGGACTGAGGCCTTGGAGCTGGCCACGGCGGTGCAGAAGCAGGGCGCGCGAGCTGGGGCTGGACTGAGAAGCCCCGTGTGGACAGGCCGTGACACGGGAGACCCTCCCCCCCGTGCAGGGGCAGGTGCAGCGCTGAAAGTCCTGTTCCCCTAGGGGACACTGCGGCCCCGGCCAGAGGCCGTGCTGGGCTGGGGGTTCCAGTGTGCACCCCAACGCACTGTGGCCTCATCACCCCTCACTGAAACGGGGGAGGGGACACGCACGTGCCCTGCTACCCTGTCCCCCCACCCCACAGGGGATGCCTGTGAGCCCCGCTGGGAAGGTGGCGATGGCTGTGGGGATGCACGGGAAAGATTTTTTGTTACCTGGTTAAGGACTTGCCCGGGCTGCCACGGGGACGGGCTACAGTTGGTTGTGAATGATAATTAACTCCTTGTTCGCTGGCAGTGAACCTGGACCTCAGGGGGCTACGGAGTCTGTGCTGACCGATTCTTAACTCGTGGGGAAGCACCCTTCCCAGTCTCCTCTCCTACCCGGAAGTGCAAAGGCCAACTTAGCAAGAACAGATCATGGCCTTCTCCCTTTACTGACCCCCACCCCCACTGGCCTGTCCGATGAGGTCAGGAGGCTGTCCATCTCCGCTAAGCCCACCCCTCACCATGGAGTTACCAACTCAGACCAAGATTCAACCTTGGCCTCTAAAGCCCTGGATTCACGGAGCCCTGGAGGCCCGAGGAAGAGGCGTCTTGAATGAGTGCAGCCCCACCTACAGCCTACACGCCCCTGCCCAGCACCCGGTCAGGAAGACCAGCACAGCCTACTGGTGTCAGCATCTTCCAGGCCCCCCCTCCAACCTCCCCAGCGAGGCCTGGTTCTCCACGGGGCCTCCCTGGCTTTCCAAACGGAAGCGCTCGCCTCCCACCCAAACCTTCACACAACTGGTGAGCTACAACCGCTGATCCGGTGCCCATTTCCTTAACACCACGGTCCTAGCCCAGCCGCTCCCCTGTGGGGTTGGTGGCAGGGGGGAGACGATGCCAGGTGCTCCCCCAGCTCGCAGACACGCCCGCCCGGGCAGGGGAGGCCCCAAGCCCACCCCTACAAAGGCCTGATTTCCCGGGCTGAGTGTACAGAGAAGGCATCAGCACCCCTGCATCTGCTCATAACCGGGTCTTTTATTATGATTATTTTTTTGACAGGCAGAGTGGACAGTGAGAGAGAGAGAGAGACAGAGAGAAAGGTCTTCCTTTGCCGTTGGTTCACCCTCCAATGGCCGCCGCGGCCGGTGTGCTGCGGCCGGCACACCGCGCTGATCCGATGGCAGGAGCCAGGTGCTTTTCCTGGTCTCCCATGGGGTGCAGGGCCCAAGCACCTGGGCCATCCTCCACTGCACTCCCTGGCCACAGCAGAGAGCTGGCCTGGAAGAGGGGCAACCGGGACAGAATCCGGCGCCCCGACCGGGACTAGAACCCGGTGTGCTGGCGCCTCAAGGCGGAGGATTAGCTTAGTGAGCCGCGGTGCCGGCCCATAACCAGGTCTTGGTTTCCATAGGAACTGTCTACTCTCATTGACCCGTAACACCCATGAGAGATGGCGGCAGGTGGCAGCTCACCGGGAGGCTCCACGCTGTGCAGTGTGGGAGATGCATCCTAGGGACAGCACCTCGGTGTGGAGCTACAACTGCAGGGGTCAGTGCCTGAGCCAGGCGGCCTCTGGCACCCCCACCCCCACCCCACTGCAGGTCTGTACTGGACACACCCTACCTCTGGGCAGCCTTGCTACTCTCTCACGGGCCCTGCCTGAGGGCTGGCCCCTGTCCACGTCTCAGATCTGTGTTTATCATGGACTGTGGGGACCAACAGAAGCTCAGTGTGAGGGTCATCAGCCCCACAGACATTCCCGGGGCCCCTGGCTCCCGAGGCCCTCTCTCGTCTTCCTCCAGTGCAGACAACTGGCTCTGGCCAATCTCCACCTGCCTGGCGAGGGCTTCCTGCACCTAGGATCCTTCCCTCCTCGGCACACTGCAGCGGTTCCCACTGTGGGGTCTCGGACCAACCGCACCTCTGCCATCTGGGAGCTGGCTACAGCTGCAGGTGCTCGGGCTGCACCCGCAGCTCCCGAGGCACAGCCAAGCCACCCGGAAGTTCACGAGCCCTCCTGGGGCTGTGATGTGGGCTTGAGAGCCATGCAGAACTGCAGGTAGGAAACCTTTCGCGTCCTCGTCCCCACATGGGGGTGCCCAGGCACGGGGTTTGCTGCTGTATTTACTGTCTTGCCTTGCTCTGGTCACCTGACCCCTGGTGGTGCGCTGAGGCCCCAGCGGACCGGCATCTGCCGACTGCCTCTTCAGGGCCCTTTTCCTCCGAAGGTGCAGTAGGAATTCAGAGGGCTGCTGGCATTGCCATAGCAACGGTACCTTCCTGAAGCTGTCATGGACCACGGAGCAAGGCAGAAGAGGGGTCTGCAAGGGGATGAAAGGCCCAGCCAGCAGGTGCGAGGGCTGTGCACCTGCCCAGGAGCTCAGGGGGGCTGGGAGCCATAGGCCAGAGCTCAGGGGGGCTGCGGCTACGTCCCGACCTGGGATGCAATCAGTACCCGTGCAGGGTCTCAGCGGGGCGGGGGAGAGTGTGTGGGGGTCAGGTCACCCGTGGAGGCTACACTCCGAAACGGCCGCAGCCAGCCAGGAGGACGTGCCCGGCGCAGGAAGAGCATCCGCGCTCCAGGCCAGGCTGCAGACGGCGACAGCGGCTACCGCAGCTCCACAAGAAATCACCTGTCAACAACGCTACAGCGGGCGCCCACCGCATCCCCACCAACAGGCGGCCAGGACCGAGAAGAGAGGAACGCTGCTCTTTGCAGAAGGCGGAATGAGAGAGGCCGCGGGTGGCGCGCCCCGCACAGCCCGCGCCCGGGCCGGCACCCACCCGCGGAGGCGAGGGGACACTGCGCTGTCAGCCTGACGGCGCCTTTAGCTTTCTCTGCCCTGGTGGGGATGTGCTGTCCTCAGGGGCCAGGGAGGCCAGGGTCGTGGGGAAGGCACAGGGGCCGAGCCGGGTCACCGCTGAGACCTGTCGCACCCTGATCCCCAATCCCACCCAGCACCCCTGGAACCTTCCACGGGTGGCGCACCCTCCTCCGCCCCCCCCGGTCTGCTGAACGTGGACAAGCCCACTTTTTTTCCCTCCTCTGCCTGCCTGCCCGATCCGTGTGGGGACAGGCAGGGGTGGAGGACAAGGGTCTCCCCTGCCCCCACAATTCGAGCCCAGTTCTCAGAGCCGTGAAGATGTGTGTGTGGGGGGAGGGCGTGGGAGAAGGGGCAGGTGGAGGGGACAGGTGGGGACACCTAATGCTGCCCCTGCCACTCCTCCAGGTTTCGGGGTGCTCCACCCCCACGGGCTGCGCGGACCTTAGACCAGGGGTCGCAGAGCCGGCCGTGGGGCCTCTCACTTCATTCCAGCCGCTGCCCTTTATAAATATTTATAGCAGCTCTTCTACTAAAAATAACATCCTGGAACCCGGGGAGGAGGGAAAAAAAATAAATGAAAATCACCAGGAATTGGACTGAGCGTCACGTGCCCGAGCTGCGCGCAAGCCCGCGGGGAGCGGCTGCGTGGGAACGGCGCCCCCCCGAGCGCCCCCTGGCGGAGGGAGGCGTGGGTTCGCGGAGGTCCCGCCCGCGCTGGGGCGCCCCGTCAGAACCGACACACACGCACGCACGCACAAGCACACACGACAACGCTCCGTGCCTTTTCTTTTTTCTCTTTCCAACCTCCGGGGCCAGTTCCGGCGCCCGGGCGAGCCCCTGCCCCGCGCCGGCTCGCGCGTCCCCGCGCTCCGCCCGGCGCCCGCAGGCCCGGTGCAGGTGTGCGGCGGCGGCGGCGGGCCGGGCAGGAATGCGCCTCCGGGCGGACGCCCGTGCCTTCGTCGTGTCGGGGCCGGCGTGCTCCTCGTCCTGCGGGCCTGATAAGACAGACGCACCGTTAGTCACGCGCCGCGGGCGCCGGCGCTTTCTTGGGCCCAAGTGTGGCCCGGAGCACACGGATGCGCGCGCCGCCGCCGAGGGCGGGGCAGGGGAGCGGGGATTCCTGGCCCCTGGGGCGGGTCACGGAGGACAGGTTCTGGAGGCAGAAGGCCGCCGACCCCAGCCCTGGCTCCGAGCCCCGGGGTGGGGCCCTGGCTGCCGCAGGTGCGCCCTCCCCCTCCTCCCAGGTCCCCTCCGTGTCGCGGAGACAGGGGCCATGGCGGGCCCTGCCGGGCGAGGCTCTTCCTGACTTTCCCAGCGGCTGGAAGGGTAGGGGGTGAGAGGGCCAGGGAGGGCCTGGGGCTGTCCTGGGAGGCGGCCAGGAAGGTTCTGAGAAAGCCCCTTTTCTGGGTGCCGGCCGTGGCTTTTCCACCCTGAAGGTGTGACCTGAGGGAGATGTCTAGGGTTTAAAGAGAAAGAAGTGGGGGAGGGAAATCATCTAAAACTGGGGTCTCCTGGCTGTCCCCAGGGAATGCACACTTGAACCAGCTGAGGCAGCGGCCCTGCGCCCCTCGCCTCCCCGGGCCTGCCTGGAAGCTGGGGCGGGCAAGGCAAGGCGGTGGGGTGAAACACCGGGAAGACGCTTCCTAGAGGCCCGCCCACGTGCCCGTGGGGCCACTGCGCTCAGACTCATCTGATTTTTGGACAGAAGAGGGACAGCTCGGCCAGGCCCGTCTGCATCAGCATGACCCTGCGGGCTCAACAGCTGCCAGTGCTGACCGACAGGGGCCCAGGGGCACACTGGCTGTGGTCGGGCTCCCAGAAGAGAAGTGGACTGTGTCGGTGGGAAATGGGGACAGGAGGCAGAGCCCAGGCGCAGGCTGAGCCCTGTGCAGCCAGCTGAGTTGGGTCCGCGGCCACCACGGGCACACGGAACAGCGGGCTCATTTCCTCACTGTTAGCGCTGCCCCGGCCCTGCAGCTTAACACGGGGCGGGGGGGGGGGACCGGAGACCCAGGAGAAGGGAGGGGCCGCGGACACTGTACTCACCGGGCTTCTCTGTGTGCCCGCTGCTCTGCTAACCTGTGCGCAGGGGCAGAGAGAACACACGCCGTCACCCCTGCTGCTCTGGGGCCCTTCCTGCCTCTCCTGGAGATCTGGGTGGACTCACACTGTCTACACCCGCCACCGCGACCAACATGAAATGGCCATGGCCGCAAACATGGGGCAGCTGCGTGGGGCCGCTGGGATCCCCTGCCTGCAGTGCGCTGCCCCCAGACGCTCGTGGCCTGGCTCTTGCTCACCCTGAAGGTGCCGGCACAGCCTGGGCCCTCAAGAGCCTGCCTCCATTCTCACGGAGGGGCCGCTGCACCAGGGGTCCGCAGGGTGCAAACAGGCCTGACAGCTCCCTACCTGGGGCGGGGCGGGGGGGGGGAATCCGGGCACAGGGAGCATAAGGCAGGGGGGGCTTGTCTGGACCCCAGCAGAGGAGCAGGAGGCCCACCCACAGGCAACAGCCACGCGCGAGCTACACTGTACCCTTGCTACCCTGAGAGTCAAACGTTTCTAAAACACTGCTCAGGCCTCGCCCCGGGCTCTTAGTCCACGCCCAAAACCACGGCAATCCAAGTCCAGGAAAGGCCTCCCTGTGGATGGATGCTCTGGTGTATTCGTGGAGAGGTGAGGCGGTGCTACGAGCCGCAGAGAGAGACGGAAATACTGCTGGCACACCTCGAGGGCAAGGGCAGAGCCCTGAGGCGGGCAGTGGCGGGCACGGGGAACCACACTGCCCACATTCAGACAGGACGGGACAAGGTGGGGGTCCACGCTACACAGGCCGGGCGGCTGGGACCCATCCCCGGCGACCCAAGGAGAGGTCACGGCGGGAGGAGGCTGTGCAGCAGGCGAGGCCTTGGCAGCAGCTGTTCAGTGTCCAGCCAGGGCCACCGCACGTGGATGCCGGCATCTGGCTGGAGCGTGTGCGTGCACACGTGTGCATGCGTGCGGAGTGTCTTCTCCTCTCCACCTCTTGCCCTACGTCCTTCCCCTCTGCATGGGGGAGCAGTCTTCTCTACTTTTCTCCACGGTGTTTCTGGGTGTTGGGAACGTGGCTGCTCCCTGCTTCTGACCTCCTGGCGTCCATGCCGACTACGGCGTTCACCTCGGTTCACCATCTCTGCCGTCCACCCGCGCCGGGGCCCTGTTCCGACTCGCCACACCTCAGCACCTACAGTGCTCCCCTTCTCTTCCTGCGCCCCTGGGCCATTTCGGCGTGCTTGCTGGTAGCTCCGGTCACCCCCTCCCCCTTACCCGCATGCACCGCTCCGGCGGCTCCGGAACCACCATCCTGCCAGCTTCCTGCCCTCGATCTCCCACTTGGACCCCGCTCCACCTGTCCCCGAGACCTTCCTGCCGGGCTCGGCCTCCTGGTTCTGCTCAGGCTAAAGCGCGGGCATTGAAGGTAGAGATTCCCGAGCCGAGGCCAGGCCCTGCCACTTACACCGCCACGTCTGCTCCCCTCTGGAGCTGGGAGGGCAGATGAGAAGGACGAGCTCTGTGCTCGGCGGGCAGCAGGCAGCTTGGCCTCCCGGGGACACCAGCCACTCCGTGTCCCCCCTCCCCCAACAGTATCCTCCTACGGAGCACCAGGTTCACGCACTGACGTCCTACTATGTGCCAGGCGTCGTCCTAGGGGCTGCGTGGAGAGACAGCATGGACAGAACGGGCCGAGGCCTCTGCCTTGGGAGCCTACACTCTGGAGGAATCCAGCAACAGAGAGTCATATTTGGCGGAGATAACAGCTGACTCTCAAACGTCCCGGGATAACAGGAAAAGTGCCGAGCACAGCTCTCCCCACACGGACTAGGTCTGTATCCAGTGAGAACAGGGAGGCCCGGCTGGCCTCGGCTTTGCTGACAACTTTCCCCTCTATTCTCCACGAAAGCACAGGGCGACTCCAGCCCACGGCCGTCTCTCCCTTCTCAGGGAGCCCGCGCAGTTTCCCGGACCACTGTGGCTGCTTATTTTGCCTGTCTCCATCTTGCTTTCCCAACCACACTGTAAGCCCCTGGAGGCCGAGGGTCCACCTTAGGTTTTCCTTCATCTGCATCCTCAGCCCCGCCCCGGCCCCCACCCCCGCAGCAGGGGTTCAGGAAGCCTCTGTGCACCCACTGACGTCACTGGCTGACGGGAGAGTGGGTGGGAGGAACCCGGGAGGGGAGGTGGCGGGGTGGGGTGGGGGGGGAGGGCAGCAGAGACAAAGGGGAGGGGCTGGGTGTCACGCGCGCTGCCTTTACCTCTGTCTTTGCCGTTCTGCATCTTGTCGTCTTCTTCGTCTGCATCTTCTTCTGCTGTGGAAACAAGTCCAAGGAGGCCAGTGACCCTTCCGTGCAGCACAAAGGCGGGAGGCGGGGACCATCCCCAGGTCTGGGCCACACCCTGCGAGGCCCAGGCCCCAGCACTGTGGAACGGAGCCCAGCTGCCCTGGGCCCACAGCAAGCAGAGCATCTGATGCCGCCCACTGTGCTGCTGGCTCTGCCCCGGCCACCCTGGTGACTGGGGAGCCTGGGTGTTCCCTAATGCACATCTTGCATTCAGATCCAGGAAAGTTACTGTAGCAGTGCGTGGTACGGGCATGCCTAAATTAACACTGGCTCAAAAAACAAAACAAAACAAACAAACAAAAAAACCTAGTGTTTTAGCTGAGGATAAACTTAAAGTGACGGCACAGTGCTGAGCGGCTGTGTGAGAGACAGCCAGTGCCATCTGCGGTCCCTGGGGGGGATTCACCCTGTGCGCTCTGCAGGGTGAGACCCCCTGAGTTAGGAGTGGTGAGGACGCTGGCCCTGGGTGCCCACTTCGCACTGGAGCTGTGGAGAACTGGGCTACGTCCTGGGGTGGTCCAGCAGGGTGAAGGGACTGGGTGAAGGAGCTCGGAGACCCATGCTGTCCGCCATCCACTCGGGAGCTGAAGCTGCAGAGGCCACACCGGGTTCCTCGGGTGGCTGCCGGGGGCACCAGCAATTGGCTACAGGAAGGCAGGCTGTGGCTCCCTGGTGGCAAGGGCTGGCCCTGAATGAGCTCCCTGGCAGTGTCCAAGCAGGACTGTCCTGGGCGGCAAGTGGGACCCAGTGACTCGTCAGGGCCGTCCCAGCTCTGGGATCCCGTCACTTGTGAGCATGTTTCTCAGACGGGAAGACGAACCATGGACACAGGCAGCGTGCACCTGCCCAGAACACGCGTCGAGAGGTCTGCACGGCCCTCTCCTCCTGATGGAAACCTGGAGGCGCCGGGGAGGAGGGAGGCAGGAGTTTGGTGCTGGCCTCCTTGCATGCAAGGATTTTACTTCTGCCAGGCAATCGCTTGCGGCGTTGATCTCTGAGGCGTCTTCCAGTCGGCATCCTCTCCTGCTGGGGGGTCCCGGAGTCTCCCCACAGATGTGTGCTTTCCATGGAGCGAGGCCTCTGGGGCTCAGGGCTTCATGCTGTCCAACTGCACCCTCACTCTCGTGTGAGGAGTGTGCCAGCCACCTAGTTTGCACAAACCCTAACGAGCAGCCACAGGACATGAGGGAAGGTCATTTCCACAGCCTGGAGCCCTTGGGAATGTCCTTGGATGCTAGGATGGCTGGAGTCTGGGGCAGGGACATCGGGAAGTCATGCCCAGGCCCTGGCCCCCTTTGTGAAGGAGGCGGAGGACCAGAGACAGGGGCCCGAGAAGCCACCAGAGAGCAGAGCACTAGTGGCTGATCCTAACCCGTTCAGATTTAAAACCTGCTGGGCCCCTTGCTAATTCTACAGGGAAAGCAGGCTGACTTGGGCCAGACCTTGGGGAGCCCCCGACAGCCCTGGAAGGGTAGGACTTCCCTGCATGGCTCTGCACACACCCAGGGCTGTCTCAGTCGAGGTGTACGTGTTGGAATGGCTGTGAAAAAGCTGCCCAGGTTTCTACTGAATAACCTTCTGCAGCTACTGCCGGGTGCTCCGAAGCACACGACGGGTGAACGGAGACGAGGCGGGCCCTGGCGCGAGCGAGCACGGCGCGCAGGAAGGGGCCACTCGCTTCCTGGACGCCGTGGAAGCCCCAGCCCTGGAAAACAAGAGGTGTCGGGCAGCTGCAAGGCTGGCGGAGCCACGGGCATTCCTGGGGTGATGATGGCACCCGAGTGGCTTTTCTTCCCCACCCCCTCCGGGTTCTGTGTAGGGAGAGGCCATGAAACAGGGGCCTCTAGGACGCCGCTGCAGTACTGAGTGAGGGAAAGACGGAGCGAGAAGTCAGGTGGGGAGCACAGGAAGCAACAGGCTCAGGTCGTGCGCTTCAGGTGCAGTCAGAGCTGAGTGGCGGACAGAGCAGGGGCTGGGGTTTCAAGGCCAGACGGAGGAGGAGAGAGCAGAGAGGCGGAGGGAGGAAGTCCAGCGCTTTGGTGGCCGACACCAGTCCAGACATCCCGGAAAAAGCTTCTGACCGAGATGCGGCCAGGCCTAGGGAGGGAGCGGCTGTGCAGGAAGCGCAGGCGGAGACAGGGCAGGCACGAAGGGGCCTTGCCGGGTGCAGATCTGGATTCCTTACACTCAGAACTGTGTTGGCTCCGCAAGGCAGGTCGAGCTAAATGTGTGACCGTCCCCACCCCCGGGCTCACGCTCTGTGGGCGCCGCCCTCCGCCGCACCCTAGAAGGCAAAGACTGAGGGGTGAGACGAGGCCGCGTGTGCCGCGGGGGAGCTCTGGGCTTCACCTGATCGGAGCTCTTTCACCAGGGATGACATGGTGTTGGTGATGGAGTCGGCAGCCACCAGCAGGTCACTGCGCAGGTTTCTCCTCGTACCTGAGGGGAGTCAGCAGACGGCGATGCCAGGGCGGTGGGCACGGAGAGGAGAGCTGGGTAAACGCCTCATCCTGCCAGGCCCTGGCACGCAGGTGCAGGACGCCTGCGGGGAGACGGGGCTGCGGCAGCTCCACCTGCTCCCGGGCACAGCAGGAGCAAGAGGAGCCCCAGCCCCGTCCTCACGGCCGCCGCCGCCTCTCCCTGCGCGGCAGAGCTGAGATCCAGAGCGAGCCGTACATGGAGGTGCTGGTCAGCTGCGGGCGGAATTCACTCGCCAGCACCCCTCCTTGTCCCCTGCCCCCAAGACTTCCTGCTTGAGCCCCTCGTCTCCCACCCAACTTCTCAGTGTCGCTGAGCCTCACACGGCCGTGCCCTCGCAGGGTGGTGTGTGGAGTCCATGTGCCCATCCTGTGCTTGCGCCCAAGGCTTGCAGGGCTGGGGGCATGACTTGAGAGCTACTCCATCCACTTCCTCTGAAGGGGACAAGGTCCAAAGCACAAGCCCCGCGCCCCAGCTCCCCCACACGGCTGCTGTGTGTGTACCTGCTACTGGAGACCGGCCCATCTAACAGGAAGGGGCCAGCACCTGACTTAATCCCACACTGAAGCCAAGAGCTTTCAACAAAAGCACAGAAACTGCGGGATGACCCCTCCCTGTGCCATGCGGCAAGCACCCACCTTGTGCGAACGCCTCCTGCACGTCTCCGCCGACGCCGCTCAGTGAGTCCTGCGGGCAGTGGGTGGGCGTGGAGCCGGCTGATGTGGAGCGGACGGGCATGGGCATGGGGCGGCCACCTCCGTGAGTGGGTGACGTGTGCGGGGACCCCGCGGCCTGCGCCTGGGAGGGTCAGAGAGAGAACAGGGGAGCTCAGGTATCTCTGAGGAAAGGGAAAGCCAGGTGGAGCTGGCGCGGGCTTGGCCATGTGTGAAGCGAACGCCCAGGCTGCCCCAGGACTGGAGAGAGGAGGAAGGGGAAGGAGAGCCTGGCGCGAAGGGGGCATTTCAGGGAGGCCGAGGGGGCCGGCGGCGGGGTCAGCTGCTGGAGGGCCAGGAGGGAGGAAGATGCAGACGTCCTGCCTGTTTGTTCACAGACACATTTGTGCACGCGCCGGTTCATGCACTCACTCTCCTCTGATCCCCCAACAGCCACAGCAGGAAGGGCCAGGCTTCCCTGTCCAGTTAATAGAGAACCAAAGATGAGCAGAGCCACGGGCCTGTGCCGGGCTCGCCACCCAGAGGGTCAGGCTGCGGCCCAGGGCTCGGGTCAGCGAGGCCTCTCCCAGGGCCCCCACCAACCACACACCACAGGCTGGGGGGATGGGAAAGCACAATGCAAGATGGAAACTGAACAGAGGCAGCTCACAGGGCAGGGGGCTGCTCCTTGGGGCTGCTGCGTGCGGCAGAGCTGGGGCTTTCTGCAGAAGCAGCACTGGGAGAATACAAGCCAAGGAGGGAGGAGCGCAAACGAAGACCCCTATCTTCCCAGGAACCAGGCTCGGAAGGCCCGCAGCAGAGGGACTCGGCCCTGGCTCGGCCGGGCACTGACCTCGACAGAAACGGTTTCTGGTCTTGGTGCTGGTCTTACCTCTGAGTCATTTCTATGTGTGTGGATTTTAACTTGAGAAGTTTACAAAGGTGGAAAACCAGAAAGTGTGATATAAACCACTCCAAACCGACACACGTGACCCTGTCACATTTATTTCCACCTGGAAGTACTGCAGATAAACCTGAGGAGCTCCGTGCCCACTGCTCTTGCCATTCCCAGTTCCTTTTCTTACCCCTTCGGTGGCGGCCACTGTCAGAGAGCTGGGTGTGAAACTTCTCACCCCGTGTACCCGCATATCTGTGCATCTTATACTTGTAAGCTGTGCGTGAGTAGTAGTATACTGCACACATGGTTTCGCAGTTTCCTTTTATCACTTAGCACACTTCCTGGACTCTTTCCAGGACACAAATAAATATGATCACAGACCCTCACGTCTCATGTCATTTTAAAAAACTAACTTGAAAGGGATCAAAGTAACTATAACAGCTAAAACTGTAAAACTTCTCAAAGAAAACATAAAGAAATCTTTGCAGACATGGGTTAGGCAGATTTCTTAGATGTGACACCAAAACCAAGCTATATGAAAGACACGTTGAATTTCATCAAAATTAAAAGCTTCTGTTCTTCAAAAAGCATCATTAAACACTACATGGACACATGGACTCAGAATGGCTCAATAACCTACGCACGGGAGCTAAACCTACAAAACTCTTGGAAGAAAACAGGGAGAAGCCTTATGATCTTGGGTAGGAGAGCATATGAGAAGCAGAAGCTACAAAACAAACTTCTGTGCTTCAAAGGACAGCACGGAGAAAGCAAAAGACAAGCCACAGGCAGGCACAGAACTTCTGCACACGACGTGTCTGATAATGGATCTGTACCTGGAACTCTTCCAGTTCAGTAACAGGTCAAATAACCTAATTTTCAACTGGGCAAAGAATCTGAATCGGCTAAGACGCATAGTGTCCAAATAAGCACAGAAGAGATGCTCACCAGTACTAGGCCCTGGGCAGGCACAAATCGAGACCATGAGATACTACTTTACCCACTAGGATGGTTGTGATCAAAAAAGGCAGGTGCTAAGTGTAGGCACGGCTGTAGAGCCCCAGGAACCTCCACACACTGCTGAGAGAAATGGAGAAGGGAATGAACAGCTGCTCGGGAAAACGGCCTGGTGGCTGAGCTAAAGGTTGAACGTTGAGTACCAGGTGACCCAGCAGTTCCAGTTCTAGATACACACCCAACAGAGATGAACGTATGTCCACACAACAATCTGCACAACCGTTCATGGAAGCAGCATTATTCAACTTAGCCAACAAGAGGCCAGCATCGTGGCGTGGCATGGCGTGGTGTGGTGTGGTGAGTAAAGCCACTGTTGTCTGTGATGCCGGCATCCTGTATGGGTGCTGGTTCATGTCCCAGATGCTGCACTTCCCATCCAGCTTCCTGCTAATGGCCTGAAGAAAGCAGCAGCAGAAGATGCCCCAAGTGTTTGGACCTCTGCTCCCCACATGGGAGACCTGGATGCAGCTCCTGGCTCCCGGTTTTGGCCTAGGCCAGCTCTGGCCATTGTGACCATCTGGGAAGTGAACCAGCAGATGGAAGATCCTGTCTCCCTGTCTCTCCCTCTAACTCTGTGTTTTCATATTTATTTATTTACTTGAAACGCAAAGTTAGAGAGAGAGAAGGAGAGAGAGAGGAGAGAGAGAGAGAGAGAGAGTGAGCTTCCATCTGCTGGTTCACTCTCTAAATGGCTGCAATGGCCAAGGGCTAGGCCAGGCTGAAGCCAAGAGCCATGAGCTTCTTCCAGGTTTCCCACATGGGTTCCAGAAGGCCCAAGGACTTGGGTCATCTTCCACTGCCCTCTCGGCACATTAGCAGGAAGCTGGATTGGAAGTAGAACAGCCAGGTCTCGAACCAGTGCCCATATGGGATGCTGGAACTGCAGGTGGCAGCTTAACCTGCTGTACCACAGTGCCAGTCCCTTAACTATTTCAAATAAATAATTAAATACACCTGTCTTTAGGTTAAAAAAAAAAAGCCAAAAAGCAGAAACAACTCAAATGTCCATCAATGAATGATTTAAATGAAATGTAGCATACTCATACATATTACATACATATATATTACATACATGGAATATTACCCAGCAATAAAAAGAGAAGTACTGACAGGTATTACAACATGGGTGGACCTTGAAAACATTTTGCTAAATGAAAGAGATCAGTCACAAAGACCACACACTGTGTGATCCCACTTATATGAAATGTCTAGAATAAACAGACAAATCCAGAGAGACAAAAAGCGGATTAGTGGTTGGGGCAGGATGAGCAGTGACTGCTAATGGGTAGGGTGATGATGTGTTCTAAAATTGTGATGATGGTTCTTGCAAAACTCTGTGATTACATTAAAAACCACTGAATTTTACACTTCAAAATAGCAGACTGTGAGGGGTGTGAGTTATAGCCCTACAAAATTATTATTAAAATGATGCCATTAGGAAAAATAAAGTAAGTCACACACTGGGAATAGTATGTGCACATCAAGAACTTATAAAGAACTCTTACAACTCAATAGTAGGAAGACAAACAACCCAAATACAAAAGGCACAAAGACTGGAGTAGACCCTTCACCAGGAGAACGCACAAACTGGCTAACAATCATGTGAAAAGCACTCAACAGGAACAGTCACTGGGAAATGGAGATTGAAAACACATTAATAACTCTTAATACCCACACAACAGCTCCAATCAGAGAGATGCACAGGGATGTGTAGAAACTGAAACCTTTGTACATTGCTGATCGGACTGTAAAAGGTACAGTCATTTTAGAAACCAGGTCGGCAGTTTCTTAAAATGTGACACACATATCCACCCACAACTGTACACAAAGGTTCATCAGCAACAGTTCAATAGCAAAACACGGGAACAACGCAAAGCCCATCAATGGGTGAATGGGTTGACAATGTGGTGTATCTATACCACTGCATACAAGGGAATCTTTTTGCTAGGTATGCTATTATTGCTTAACTTGTATAATATTTTGTATTAACAGTTAAATATGTCCATTCTTGTGAAATATTCTATTTTTTTCAGTGGCTACAGACATCTTATTATTTACTTTCTTTATTTCTATGTATCTTCTTTCTTTCTTCTTCTTTCTTTCTATGTATCTATCTATGCATTAACTTACATTTTCTTCCCAGTTTACGTACACAGAGAGACTATTACCCTGTGCCATGCCAATCACTGTACTCTGAGGACTCCCTCCCCCCCCCACTTTTTTTTTAAAGGGCTTAGTTACTTTAACTGAAAGGCAGAGTTACAGAGAGGCAGAGGGAGAGGGAAAGACAGAGGCAGACAATCTTCCATCCTCTGGTTCATTTCTCAAATGGCCATGACAGCTATGGCTGGGCCAGGCCAATGCCAGGAGCCAAGAGCTTCATCTGGGGCTCTCTGCTGCTTTTCCAGGCACGTTAGCAGGAAGTTGGATAGGAAGTGGAGCCACTGCAACTAGAACCAGCATCCACATAGGATGCCAGCGTCGCAGGTGGTAGCTTTAACCACTGCGCCACAGTGCTGGCCAGCCTTCCTTTCCTCCCCTCCACTTTGTATGCAGTTACAATCACCATGAGCCTTTCTACAAGCAGGAAACACATGCTAATGGATGAAATTCAGGATTTTTAGGACTTCAGGGTGCTGCCTCCCGTGTGAGGAGGAGAGCTGGAGACTTGGCTGGAGACGGAGCGGCCGGACCCAGCAGTTTCAGCCCCAAAGATGCTGGGGTGAGAGGAGCGAGAACAAGATGTGCATGCCCGGCTTTGCAGGGCCGTCCTGAGTGGGCACAGCTTGGGGTGTGGGCAACCACAGGGCCCCTCCTGGGCCTCTGAGGGCTGAGGGGAGCAGAGGAGAGGCGGCTGCCTGGCTTGTGTGGGCTTCCCCAAGGGTGACCCCACTTACCACGGCAGCCGGTGTTTCTCCCAAGGTGTGTGATGAGTTTAGCGCGTTTACAGGCGCGATGGGGTCACGTGCGGACCGTGCAACAGGGCAGTCTGGGAATTCCGATGTCTGAGTAGGAGGCCAGGGAGCACCGGCTGTGAGAACCAGTCATCGGGCTTTCGGCACACCGTGGTCCTTGGCAGCCTCCCTCCATGGGTTCTGGGCCCAGCACCGCTGCCTGGGGACCTGAGCTGGGTGTGGTGGCTGCTTTTGAAGAACAAGAACCTGAGCCTCCAAGCACACACATTTTAATATGGAAATGATGCTGGGGGGAGGGGCGGGCGCCACGTGTGG